GATTGAGGAAGACATCAGAAGATAGAAGGATCTCCCATGCTCATGGATTAGAAGAATTAATATTGTGAAAATGACCATCCTACTAAAAGCCATTTATAGACCCAATGCAATGCCAATCAAAATCCCCATGACATTCTTCACAGAATTAGAAAAAAAAAATCCTAAAACTCATATGGAATCACAAAAGACCCTGTATAGCCAAAGTAATCCTGAGCACAAAGAGCAATGCTGGGGGGATTACCAGATCTCAAACTATATTGCAGAACTATAGTCATAAAAACAGCACGGTACTGGCACAAAAACAGACACATGGCTCAATGGAACATAATTGAAAACTCAAACATAAGTGCATGCAATTTCAGCCACCTAGTATTTGACAAAGGTGCCAAGAACACACACTGGAGGAAAGACAGCATCTTCAACAAATGCTGCTGGCAAAACTGGATCTCTACCTGCAGAAGAATGAAACTAGACCCTTATCTTTAACCCTGCATAAAAGTCAACTCCAAATAGATCAAAGACTTCAATGTGAAACCTGAAGCCCTGAAACTATTAGAAGAAAACAAGTGGGACTTCATTAAACTAAAAAGCTTCTATACAGGAAAAGAAACAACTCAGGAAGTGAAGAGGAAACCCATGGAGTGGGAGAAAATCTTCACCAGTGACACATCTGACATTTAGTTTAATGAGGTCCTACTTGTTGATTGTTGACCTTAATTCCTGAGCAACTGATGTCTGAGTTAGAAAGTCCTTTCCTGCACCTGTATCTTATAGGATACTGCCTGTGTTTTCTAAAAGTTTCAGAATTTCCAGTAAAGAAAGATAAATTGCTGGGCGTGGTGGCACACGCCTTTAATCCCAACACTTGGGAGGCAGAGGCAGGAGGATCTCCTGTCTCAAAAAAAGACAAAGAAAAGAAAGAAGAGAAAGGAAAGAAAGAAAAGACAGATGAAATTATGAAATTTGCAGGTAAATGAATGGAACTAGAAACTGTTATACTATATGAAGTGACACAGACTCCAAATCCTTATATGTGAGTACATATCCTGATATAACTGCAGGAGCCAGGAAAATGGAAGGGAACCATGGAAGTAAAGGGAAAGAAGGAGCCTGAGAGCGAGGACTAGAAGGAGTCAGGTGTTACTAAGCGAGAAATGTGTAAAATGGGGGTAGTTAACTGGGAGGGGAATAGGGATGGTTATATAAGGAACCATGGGGGTAAAGGGGAAAATGGAGCTCAAGGGGAGGGGGGCATGGGACACAGGTATTATCAAGGGTGAAATGGGGAAAATGGAGAGGGAACAGGAAGGGTTAGACAGAGGGAAGGAGGGGGGGGGAGAGAGAGAGAGAAATGCTTAGCTAATGTGAAAAATCAGAGGGAAATATTCAGAAACCTACTGAAAAATTATACATACAATATCTGTACAGGAGTGCGTATGTGTAGTTGAAGGCTATATAACAAGAAACAGTGCCAGACAGGGGAAACCTCCCTGCAAGTTATTAGTCAGGGTAGTCTAAGAAATTCTCAAAATTACAGAGGCTACTGCCACAGCCCTTGATTGCCTCCCAAAACTTGAAAGTAAGTCCCTATTGCTGAAGACTGGACATACTTCTGACCTGGAGCAATGGAGCTAGAACTGACCTGGAGGCCTCCTCCCTGAAGGCTAGTTCTCATCATTTTGGAGAACACTATGCAAGCTGCTAAGGGAGAAAATCAATCAATTTTGTTTAAGGCCTAATAACCACAACAATTACCAGCACAGCAAACTATACTGGGACAGTAGTGGCACTTTTATCTTGGGGGTAATCAACAGCTACCTAATTGGACTTAAAGCACTCAATGGGAGGGAACTCACAAGTGTGGCACTGTAAACACAGCCACAAATAGCTGGAGAGGTCATAGATCTTAGAGAAAACCCTAAGTCTGTCACAATCCTAGACAAATATAATTTATTACTATATGCTAAATATGGATCCTTATATTTATAGACAAGTATGCCAGTCACCACTCATCAAAGAAGCTTCTTTTGCAACAGAGAATATTACAGAGTTTCACAAGTGGTCACACACAGAGAATAAGTGTCTGTGAGATGTTCAACCCTAAGTGACACATCTACAATGGGACGTCTACAGCTAAGGCTCAGGGAACATAGTGGAACAAAGGGTAGAAAGAACACTAATGCATCTCTCAACTCTCATCAGAGGCTGCATGCTTCCTCATGCAACCTCTAGAGGGTAATGAATACAAAAGGCCACAATTGGCCAAAGTGTAGAGAGTAGGAGTCTGCAGAGTGTGGGTCCCTTGGACAGGACTCCTATACTAAACTTCACCTACTCAGGGTTCAGGGACCATTGAAGAAAAGGGGGTGGAAGTACATGACCGTAGGAAACAGAGTCTTAAAGGCTCCTGGGACCTTGCTCATATTAACAACAATGGTGTCAGCATGCACAAGACCCATGCAAACTCAGTAATAGAACTGGGGAAATAGGCAGCAGGCTCCAACCTTAGCCAAAGAACTATTGGCAACTAAGTATTGTTGGGTAAGGGCAAGCTGATCTTTTTTTAAGGAAGAGACTCTAGATAGGCTGACTAGACCCCAGTGGATGAACTTGCACTGAGGGACATCAAGGTACACTAACTTGACTCCTAACATGTATGACAGAATTCCTGAAATCTGGTGGGGAGAGAGTGATAGAGGGGTGCAGATGGGAGACAGGGTATAAAGATGATTAAGATGTTTTGTATGTGGTGGGCATGGTGGTCATGCCTTTAATCCAGGCACTTGGGAGGCCAGCCTAGTCTACATAGCAAGTTCCAGGCCAGCTGGGGCTATGAGGAAACCCTGTCTCAAAAAGCCAAAAAAAAATTTTTGTATGAAATGCACAAAAATGTGCACAATAAATAAATATACATTAAAAATCAAATATGACTCAATGACATTTTTTTTTAGTCTTTTTGAGGCAGGGTCTCCCTGTAGTCTCAGCTGTCCTGGAACTCACTATGTAGACCAGGCTGGCCTCGAACTCACAAAGATCTGCCTGGCTCTGCCTCCCAAGTGCTGGGATTAAAGGTGTGTGACACCATGCCCAGCTCAATGACATTTTTTAGGCAAACAATTTTTAATTTTATAATTGGAAGAACATCTGTATGTTTTTTAAATGACTCATGCTTCTAAAAGGGTTAAAGAATACTCCAAAAAATCTAAGTACTAGAAATTTCAATCATAAAGTCCTGTGAAAGTCAATGCAATGATTAAAATAAGGCTCTCAATATAGAAACTTCATCCTTTCTGCACTTTGAAGAGCTACACTACTTAAAAATAGCAGGCATTATTACAGTGCCACTCAGCCACAAGATTCAGCAATTCTAACAATAAGTTGAGCCTGAATAATTTAGCATATGATAATATCTAATCCATTTTCTTCTCTTAAAAAGAAGACAGAAGCCAGGCATGGTGGCGCACACCTGTAGTCCCAGCACTTGGGAGGCAGAGGCAGGTGGATCTCTGTGAGTTCAAGGCCAGCCTGGTCTACATAGTAAGCTCCAGGCCAGCTGGGGCTACAGGGAAACCATTACAAAAAAAAAAAAGAAGACAGTAACGTTTATCAGTTTGTCAAACACAAATGTTCTGTCTTTCACATGATTTTTGGAAAGTAAGAAAGGCTGGGAAATTGGGAAATGCAAAGTTATGTGCTGACTGGAATGGATTCCGGTGTGAGGAATGCTCTAGAGCAGCATTCCACTTTGTATAGTGATCTGCTGTTTGCTTTTTAATAAAACATCTTTCCTTAACTCATAACAACTGATTTTGTTTTTAAGTAAAAGGCTCCCTCAGTGTAGACTCTTCACTGGTGTCTAATGGAGTCTCCTTATACAATCAGAGACTCAAATATCCATGCCTGCCTTAAGTAAGACTGCTGCTTGCTAATGCTGCTTTCTTGTCTACTACAGCTCTTTCCATCTCTGGGCATTAGCATATATCTGCCTGTGTGTTTTCAGATGCGAACATTACTCACCTTGCTGAGGAATTATATTTCGTTCCACTTCTTCCTGAACAAGTGCACACAGTTTTGTGGCGAACAATCCTTTGCATTTTGGAAGGCTTGAAAATGTTCATCCACTCTACATCAGTCATGTGTCCTGGGGCTTCAATGATGAAGTTACTCGGGTGGCAGCACTTGGCCTCACACAGGTCACTGTCACCCAGACAGCCTTCATTTTGGGGACAATATGAGATTTCCAATCTTTCTTCCAGGTCCCCATCCAGCTTTTCAGGCTGTTTAGAAGAAGAACAGCTGGCTAGGCCCAGGTAGACGTTGATGTCATGCCACTGTTTCTCATCAGACAGTGAGAGAGGTGCTTCTGAGAGCCGCTTCTCTTCGTTCTGAAGTTCAGCTCTATTACCTTTAGGTGACTTTGCATGGTTCTTGCACAGTGTAATTTTGTTTTCAGGTTCAGTCTGGATTTTTCCACCCAGAGACCAAGGTTTTTGTTTCTGCAGTGAGTCTTTGGTAAATAGAGATGAGAGAGCAATTACACTTCTTTCCCCAAATGCAGTGTTAACCTGTAGTTTCTTCTCTTTGCATGCATCACAAGAGTTCTTGTCTGACCTATTTTGCTGAGCCAACGTGGCCTCAAACTTTTGATCCTTGACCAATGACTTCAGATTTTTCTCCCCTTTATTATCGATTTTTAGGTGGTTATTGTCAAGGTCTGATAAACACATGTCTCTGCTACAGTGGCATTACAAAAAAATAGAAGTTACAAGATAGACTCGATACTCTCATTTACTAGTATTACCTCTTCCAATCCTATACTAGAGCTAAATCCCAGTAAGAACCCCAGTCAGATCTTCTGAGCCTGATCCCAGCCCTCCTTCTAGCAGGAAGACTTTCTGAAACCAAGCCTGCATTCCTCTCCCCTCTTGCATTCCTTATCTTATTGTACTTGTCATCTAACAACAACAAATCCAGACTGTTTGCCATACCTTCCCTTAAGGTTTTTCCTATCATGTATTCTGCTTATTTGTTTTGAGACAGGTTCTCACACTGTAGGCCAGGCTGGCCTAGAAACTGTGATCCTCCTGAGTACTAGGATTATAGACAGGTACACACCATAATTCCAGACTTGTATTTAGGTGTTCTGATTTGCAGCACACCTATCCTATAGAAAGCACGACTCTTTCCAGAATGGCATGAACCATTTCTGTTTATAAAGAGTAACCTCGACTTATCCAGCATCTCCCAGTAGCAATGATGTTCAAAGAAAAAAAAAAAAAAAAGAGTCCACATGTCAAGGACTTCTGCTTGGAAGAGAACCCTGAGTAGGTATGGAATCTACTGGTGGTAGAACAGCTGGGACACAGAGCAAGCATGACATACCTTGGCAGAGGGCCGCAGTAGTACAGCAAGCATAGCACAGTGCAGCTGAACCTCTGTCTTACTGCCAGCAGCAGTTGCAGCCTTTCACATCCTGTCCCTGCAGCTGCTAACTGCAGTTCTCCCAGGGAAAGGAGCTGTAGTCAACAGTCAATGTCAACTAGTAATTCCCTGTAGCCATGGGGAAATTCCCAATCCCTCTTTGTCTTGAATCTGTAACACCTCTGCTTAGAAAAGTAGACTGGCTTTAGCCAGGCATGGTGCACAGTTCTGTAATACTAGTATTCAGGAGGCTGAGGCAAGAGGAAGATTGCCACAAGCTTCAGACCAGTCAAAGCTACATAGTGAGACTCTATCTCAAAAACACCAAAAAGGGGCTAGAGAGATGGCTCAGCAGTTAAGAGTACTGGTTGCTTTTGCAGAGGACCTGGGTTTGATTCCCAGCACCCACATAGCAGCTAACAACCATTTATAACTCCAGTTCCAGGTGATATGATGCCCTCTTCTGGCCTTGGCAGGCATTCCAGGCATGTAGTTCACTTATATACATGCACACCCATACACATAAAAACAAAACAACCACCCAAAAAGAAAAGAGTATATACTTACTACATTGCACTACTTTTTACATATTTTAATTTTTAAAAAGTATTTTAATGGGGCTGGAGAGATGGCTCAGCAGTTAAGAGCATTGACTGATCTTACAGAGGACCCAGGTTCAATTCCCAGCATCCACATGATAGCTAACAACTGTTTGTAACTCCAATTCCAGGGGATCCAATCCATGTGTGTAAGTGCACCCGTGTCGTGCAATGCCTTCAGAGGTCAGAAGAAGGCATCGGATCCCCTGGAACTGGAATTACAGATTGTTAGCCACTATGTGGGTCCTCTGCAGGAGCAGTCAGTGCTCTTTACTGCTGAGCCATCTGTCCAGTCCCCCACATATTTCAATTTTACAGTCATTTCTATACTTCTTGCTACAATTAAGGGAAGGATATCTCCTACTGACAAGGCAAACAAACAGGAGATCTGAACTCCTGTTGCTGTTGTTGATGCTATTCTTTGGCATTATTCTGTGAGGCAGACACCATGTCCTATAGACATCATTCCCTAAACACTGGAGTGCTAAGTTAATGAAGGGCTGGTTATCTCTGCAGTTTCTACTCTAGCTTTGAGTCTTCTACCCACAGATATAAAAATCTGGTCTAATGATTTTACTGTTGTCAAATGGCCAGTTTAGGATCACACCTAACATTCCTAGCTCAGGTCTCACCACAGCGCTAGAACTGTCATAATTATTCGCTTATACAATTTATTTCCTGCTATATAAGAAATAGTAGTGGGCAGTGGTTTACAGAAGTGTAGATAAGTAGTTACTTATCTAATAATGAAATAAAAGTCAAGGTCATATTAAATGGCATCTTTAGTATTACCTAGATTCCAGGGTCTTTGAGTCGTCTATCTTTGCGTCATATACCTGTATTAATTCCTGAGAATTTTCCACATTGAAATTAAGAAACTGCAGGTCACTCTGTTGTTTTACATAAATCTGTAATAGATATTGATAAATCAATATAAGATACAATAAAAAACCAAACTGAACCAACAAATTTATACTTTGAAACCCTAAAACAGATAACTTTGTTTTTATTTTTTTCTGTTTATACTAGGGTTTGCTAAGACAGCTGGTTTCCTAACCTTTAATTACCATAACCGAGACCTTATCTGCAATGCTAAATATGATGCTATAATACAGTTAAGATCCAGGAGGCACCATTAACAAAATCAATAGGCAGATAGTTTCCTAATTTGTTCACAAATATTTCCCACCTAATAGTCACAGTGGATAGCTTGGAGACTTACCTGTCTCAGATTATGCAGCTCTAAATTTGTGCGCTTCTGCTTTGACTTTGCAATATCAAGTAACTCATCTTTCCTCTTTTCTCTCTCAACTATGTAAGAACAAAAATGATTAAGCGTTTCTCATTAGCCATATCAACACACACCTATCCATTCCTAAATATTTAATAACTGACTTTTGTTTTTCTTAAACTTTAAATATTTTTTTATTGTTTTTAGTTTATGAGCGTATTGCCTGCCTGTATGTAAGTGCACCTATGTTGTACAATGCCCATGGAGGTCAGAAGAGGGTATCAGAGGAACTGGAGTTTCGAAGGTTGTTAGCTGCCATGTAGGTGCTGGGAATCAACCCTGGGTTCTCTGCAAGAACAGCCAGTTCTCTTAACTACTGAGCTATCTCTCCAGTCCCTTGTTCCTAAACTTTAAAACTATAAAATGACTGACTGGGAAGAACTTTAATATGTAACTCATACTATATCCTTCATGCAATGGGAAAGCATACAATGTAATTCATGTTAAGTCAAAAAAGAATTTAAAGTGTATGCAGGTGTTTGCAGGAAAATACACAAATATAAACAAATAAAAAAACCCCCCACAAAACCCTGAAAGCAAGCCAAATGCAGTGGCTCACATCAGTAATCCTAGCCCTTGGGAGTTGGAAGCTGGAGAACCAGGAGTTCAAGGTCATCCTCAGGTATAGGGGAAGTCCAAGGCCAGCCTGGGTTACAAGAGACCTTGCCTCAAAAACAAACAGATAAACAAAGCCTAAAAGGAAGTATCATTATCACTAATACTGTTACATTGTACTATTGACACAGTTTCTGTCTATTGAGTCCAGGCTGGCCTTGAACTTGTGATCTTCAGGCCCAAGTCTCCTGACTGCTATACTACCACCTCAGGCTAGGCACTTTAAAAAAAAATTTCTTTATTATTTTTATTTTATGTATATGAGTATATTGCCTGCATGTAGGCAAGTGTCTGCGGAGGACAGAAGAGGCAGTCAGATCCCCTGGAACTGGAGCTATGGAGAGGGGTCAGCTGCCATGTGGGTGCTGGGATTCAAACTCGGGTCTTCTGCAAGAGCAACCAGTGTTCTTAATTGCTGAGCTATCTCTCCAGTCCCAGACTAGCGCTTTTAACAAGTTGGGCCTGGTGATATGCACCTATGATCCCAACTACTCTAGAGACTGACACAGGAAGATACTTGAGGCCAAGAGTTCGAGATCAGTCTGGCCAATATAGAAAGACCCTGCTTAAAATTTAAAAGTTTTTTTTTAGGGGCTAGAGATGTGGCTAGTGGTAGAATGCTTACCTGGCATGTGGAAAGCCCTAAATTTGATCCCTAACACAACCACAATAAAAAAGAACATATGGAGTGGGGTGTAGTGGTACACACCTTTAATCCCAGTACTCAGGGGGCAGAGGCAGGTGATCTCTGTAAGATCAAGGCCAGCCTGTTCTATACAGTGAGACCCTGTCTCAAAAAGATGAAAAAATAAAAAGAACATATGGAAAGAATCCTAAGGTACTCTACTCAAATGTATTAATGTTACACTTAAGAAGAAATTATTAGGCCAGGTGTGGTGGCACATGCCTTTAATCCCAGCACTCAGGAAGCAGAGGCAGGCAGATCTCTGTGAGTTCAAGGCCAGCTGGGACTACAAGGAGATCTGGTCTCAAAAAAAAAAAAATCAGTAACGAAAGATAGCAATGATTTGGTCATTAAATACTGTATCACATCATACTTTTAAAATATGTACTATTACTACTATTATTTATGGTGTCAGAAATAATCTAGGTCTCCAGCATGCTAAGTAAGTTATTTAGTACTAAGCTATACTCCTAGACAGTATGTTGAAATTTCAATCAAAAATAAAATTTACCCCCCAGCATGATGGCTCACACCCTAGGCACTCCTAGGCAGGGGCAGGCAGATCACCATGAGATCAAGGACAGCCTGGTCTATACAGTGAATTCCAGGCCAGCTGGGGCTACATGGAGATCCTGTCTCAAAAAGACCAAAATAATAATAATAATAATAATAATAATAATAATTATTATTATTATTATTATTTAGGGTTGGCCAGATGGCGCATGCCTTTATTTCTAGCTCTTGGGAGGCAGAGGCAGACTGATCTCTGTGAGTTCAAGGCCAGCTGGTCTAAACAGTGAGTTCCAGGCTAGCCAAAGCTACATAATTAGACTGTGTCTCAAAAAAAAACAATTTCAGAGCGAGGTATGATGAAGCACACCTTTAAAAGCCAGCACTAGGAGACTGAGGCAGGCAGATCTTTGTGAATTTGAAGTTAGTCTGTTCTACATAGTGAGGACTAGGCCAGTCACAGTTAAACAATGAGATACTATCTCAAAAAATAAAAATAAATAAATAAAAGTAAATTTCAGAAGCTGGGTGTGTTGGTACACACTTACATTCCCAGCACTTGGGAGGAAGAGGCAGGAGGATCAGGAGTTCAAAGCTACCTTCAGCCACATGAGACCCTCCCTCAAAAACCCACAATAAATAGTAGTAAATTTTTTTTTTTTTTTTGGTCTTTTTGAGACAGTGTCTCCCTGTGGCCCCAGCTGTCCTGGAAGTCACTATGTAGACCAGGCTGGCCTTGAACTCACAGAGATCTGTCTGCCTCTGCCTCCCGAGTCCTGGGGTTAAAGGCGTGTGCCACCACACCTGGCTTATAGTAATAAATTTTAATTTAGTCTTAGTTTCTGATTTTAGTGTGGGGTTTTGTGTTTAATATTATTTATGTATGTATGTACGCATATATGTATGTGTTTGTGTGAGTGTTTGACTGCCAGGTGAAGGCCAGAGAGGGCATCAGGTGACTCTCCATGTTCTTTGTTTATATATAAGGAAAATAATTGTAAGGGATTCCATTTGTAATGCTATTTTGTAATCTCCCCCATCTTGTAAACCTTTTTGTTTCTGCAAAGGGCTCGATGCACTCCCTGAACCAGGACCTTGAGTGGCTCACCCCTTTCCTTTTCCCTTGCTTTCAGCTCCTCTGCACAGTACCTTTTAAAACTAGCCAACTGGGAAAGACTGGACCTCAGCCAATGAAGACAGACACAGAACTCTCATGTTAGGATAAAAATCTAGATATTAATTTCCTGCTTGATGTGCTTTCTACCTGAATGAGGCAATGTACCCTTTCCCAAAATTAAAAGTTGCCTTTCTGAGTTACTTTTGTTTTGTCTGAGTGTTCTTTGTGCAGTATTGGTGGGATCCTTGGGTTCCAGATTTTATTTCCAACAACTAGCAAATGATTTAATGACTTATTTTTTATTTATATATTTGGTCTTTTTGAGACAGGGTCTCCCATAGCTCCAGCTAGCCTGAAACTCATTATGTAGATCAGGCTGACCTTTGCCTTTGGAGTGCTGGAACTAAAGGTATGTGCCACCACACCAGGCTCTGACTTATTACATTTTGTTACTTTATTTTATTAATTTTATTTTTACTTTATTTTATTGTGTATGAGTGTTATGCCTGAATGGAAGTGCACCCATGTCATGCAATGCCTGCGGAGGACAGAAGAGGCTGTTGGATCCCCTGGAACTGGAGTTACGGACAGTTGTTAGCTACCATGTGGGTGCTGAGATTCAAACCAGTGTCTTCTGCAAGAACAACCACTGTTCTTAACTGCTGAGCCATCTCTCCAG